CATTAACAGGAGTGTTGTGAGCAAGACACGAGAAGTCATTCTTCCGCTCTACTCTGCACTGGTTAGGCCTCAGTTGGAGTATTGTGTTCAGTTCTGAGCACTGCATTTCAAGAAAGATGTGGAGAAATTGGAGAGGGTCCAGAGAAGAGCAACGAGAATAATTAAAGGTCTAGAGAACATGACCTATGAGGGAAGGCTGAAGGAATTAGGTTTGTTTAGTTTAGAAAACAGAAGATTGAGGGAGGACATGATAGCAGTTTTCAGGTATCTAAAAGGGTGTCATAAGGAGGAGGGAGAAAACTTGTTCATTTTGGCCTCTGGGGATAGAACAAGAAGCAATGGAGGGCTTAAACTGCAGCAAGGGATGTTTAAGTTGGACATTAGGAAAAAGTTCCTGTCAGGGTAGTTAAACACTGGAATAAATTGCCCAGGGAGGTTGTGGAATCCCCATCTCTGGAGATATTTAAGAGCAGGTTAGATAAATGTCTATCAGGGATGGTCTAGACAGTACTGGGTCCTGCCATGAGGGCAGGGGACTGGACTCGATTACCTGTCGAGGTCCCTTCCAATTCTAGTAGTCTATGATTCTATGATATTTGGTCTCCTCGGGGCTCTGGCTGTCACCCCATGCACTACACCCTCCAAGCACAGTCTTTCAAAGGGTTCAAGAATTCTAGTATGGACATGACCTCCCACGTTGCCTATTTTAGACCTCAGGATTGAAATGTTGCTGGGGCGGTAGCATTCGGGATTGGTACTTCTCTCCCAAATCCCTCCTTAGTTGTAGCAGTCACCGCTGGCTTGCTGATGAGGAAGAGTACAATCGCTTCAAGCTTATTTGTGATGAATGAGGGCTAGTTGTCCAGCCTTGAGCCAGGCATAGAGCGGACAACTGTCACGCTATGCTGCAGTTAAACACCTACTGCTGCCATATCTTCTCCCAGAAGACAAACATCTACACTGCAATTTCACAGCCCACAGCCTGAGGCCCAGAAGCCTGAGTCAGCTGACATGGGGTTTAATTGCAACACTGACCTACCCTGGGTTCTTGTATCAGCACCAGCCCACATCAGCCCTGCCATGAAATCCTGAGACCTCTTGCTCAGAGGCCTTATTCGTTATGCTGACTCATTGTATAATATGGAATGCTGATGGAGGTGCTGTGTAAGCACGTAACAAACTCCACCAGGATGGGTTGGTATTGTTTAATATCCACCCTTTCATTACAGTTTAAAGCAGTATGCATGAACTCTAGAAACCCTTCTCAGCAAATATTTTACTTGAGAATTAATTGGGCTGAAAGGTCAGAGACTGCTACAGTCCCAGAGATCCTTACCTTTAAATGCTGCTCCAAAAGTTTGCCTGGGAGAAAGGTGGGTTTTTATCCCTAGCAGCACGACAGTTGCCATGTCAGGATATCCAGGAACCACTGGGTTCTCTCTCTTTTTCTCTTTGTGGTGTTTTGCTGAAGGTGGGAAATTGCTGGTTGTACCTCAAGATGGGAGTCACTGGCTTAGCATGAGTGCAGCAGTGGAAATGCTTGGGGAAAGAGGACATGAGATTGTAGTTGTAATCCCAGAAGCCAACTTGCTCATGGGAGCGTCAGAGCATTATACTGTGAAAACACATTCAGTGCCTTATACACAAGAATCATTGGATGAATTTTACCGTTCAGTAGGAGAGAGCATTTTTGGCAAACTGCCATTTCCAGAGAAAATAACAATGCTCCTTGGAAACATATTACGAGTTTCAACCATGTTCTCCTCTGCCTGCAGGCATTTCTTATATGACGAAGAGTTAATCAGATACCTTGAGGACAGCAAGTTTGATGCTGTCCTTATGGATCCTGTGTTACCATGTGGACCAATACTTGCTGAATATCTCTCAATTCCCTCCATATACTTCATGCGTGGACTCCCATGTGGCTTGGATTTCAAAGCCACTCAGTGTCCCAGTCCTCTTTCTTACGTCCCAAGGCTTTTCACATCCAATTCTGACCATATGCCATTTACACAGCGCATGAAGAACCTATTAGTCACTGCTACAGAAAATTTCCTTTGTTACCTGTTCTATTCAGAATATGAGAGACTAGCTTCTGAGTTTCTTCAGAGACAGGTAACAGTCCTGGAACTCTTCAGCAAGGCATCCATTTGGCTCCTGAGGTACGACTTTGTGTTTGAGTATCCCAGACCTGTGATGCCCAACATGGTCTTTATTGGAGGCACCAACTGTAAACAGAAGAAATCGTTAACCAAGGTTTGTAAATTATTTTGAAAAAGCTGAAAATATTACAAGGTTTACCAAGAGATTATTTGATGGTGTTTTTCTGTAGGCTCAATTACTACCTTTGGTGAGAACATCAGCCTTATGACTTATTGCACATGAGCCAAGGTCCTGATGACCTCACACGTGTTGACTCAAATAATGATGTCAAGCAGAGGTGCGGGTGAGGAGGAATGGTCCTTAAATCATTTGTCATCACCTCAGGATGACTTCTGCAGCATGGAAATAAAAGCCCTTTGAGGCCTTGATGGAGAATGGCTTTCCATTACACTGTGCTGTAGCCTGTTACTTTCAGTGTATTGCTCTTACAAGGAAGCTGCTGGGGGCCCATGGTGCTGATGATCATGTCTGGTGCGCCTGTACGTTGCCTTCATATCTGAGAAGAGGCAAAAGGGTTATATGAGACAAGTTAAAAGATTAAAACTTTATCCTAGGTTACTTGAGCTTTCCATGCTGTTTAGAACTACAGGGTTCTAGTCTCCCCACCACCCCCACATACACACACACAAGCTTTAGGTTTGGGAGCCTTGCCCCACCCCTCTGGGATTGGCTTAGCTTATGGCTTGTGCATCATGGGTTTTTTAAGACATCATGTGCTGCTCTAGGTGTCTGCAGTGGCGATGTAGGATTACTGCAGTGAGACAAGCAGTAGGGACTTCAAGCAGCCTGAGGGGCATTTGGAGACTCCCTCAATGCTGCAAAGCCAGCATGTCTGATTCTATGATGCCTGCTTGGAGCTAGGGACATGTCAGGGATGGGAGAGGAATATGCTACATTCTGTTGGTCCTTGGTAGTTTAAAAAAAATAATAAAAAAAAATAGTCCCTACAGAATTGTTCCAGCCATAAGAAGTTACCATAGTGCAAGAGCTGCTCTAACTTGAACCCATGGGTGAGACTAGCCCCCAGTCCAAGCATGTGGGATGGGGGAGGGAAGTAAGGGCAAAAGGCTGGATTCAGACCTGGTGCACCCAAATTCCCAGTCAAGTAAGCACAAGAGATGCAGGTTTCAGAACTACACTGTGAAACTCTGACTGCCCTAAAGGTAGTCACCATGGAAATGAAGAGGGACACAGCTATGGGAACACATGGTATTTCAATGGACCTGCCAGAAACTCATCTCCCTTACTGAGCATACAACAGGGCAGGTTAGTTTGGCTGCTAGCCAATGCAGATGTTCTGGCATCAGCCTTGCAGGGAGCATACAGCTTGCATGGGACCATACAACTTCCAGATGTTCAGGTAAGTTTTGTTCAAGGACATCAAGGCTATATAACTACCACGTAGAAACACAAACACTTGGCAAGACCAAGACATTTACAACAACAGTGGACTATCTAAACTAAGATCAAGCTGTACTGATGCAGATGCACCTCTAACTTTGCTTGCATTGGCACTATAGGGACAGAGAGCTCTTCTGTCAGTATAACTAAGCCATCTTCCACAAGCAGCAGTAGCTACATCAGAAGGAGAACATCTCCCAGCAACGTAGTGCTCTCTGCACCAGCGCATCTGTCAGCGTAGCTCAGAGGAGGGTGCCTTAATCACACCCCTGTGTGATGTAAGTCATAGTAACAAAAGTGCAAGTGGAGACAGAACTGAATAAGCCAGTTTTGAGACATGAGCCAGAGGCAACGAAGAGCATTTCTAAGGAAACAAATATACCTAATTTTTGAAGCCACGCCTTGTTCATTTTGTCTCAGACTTTCAAAAAAATCAGCCAGCTGAGAATAGAGTCACGGGTGTGACTTTTTAAAGTTTAGGCAATGACTGGGGATGTGTGTCGTGATCAATGCTGGGATATAATGGAAGTCTAGTTTCACCTCCATAATGAGAATATTCACCACTCTCATCATGGTGCAGCTGTGTCTTAATGTCAGACTCAAGGAGAGGGAACCTAACCCAAACACTCAGGCGGATCCTGAAAATTAGGTAACAAAGTTAATATTATTTGTAAGCCAACAAAACATTCTTATGGCTTTGATCACTGCCAAACTACTCCACTGAGAGCTCAATTTGACGGAGTATGTGGTGGACAGGAAACAGTGAGTAAGTAAATCTTAATGATTTTCAACATCTTTTTGTTTAAAGCACAAAAGCAATACCTTGGGAAGCGGTATAGCTTCTTTACATGTCTGTTGTCCAAGTGACTTGCACAGAGTTACATTCAAGAGGAGATAATTTGAGCTGGGTGACAGGGTGAATAGTTTATTCACCAACAAGTTAAAAATCACTTAGGAAAGTTAGATGTCAGCAAGTCACCAGGTCCTGATGAAATGCATCCCAGGATACTCAAGGAGCTGATAGAGGAGGTATCTGAGCCTTTAGCTATGATCTTTGAAAAATCATGGCAGACGGGAGATTCCAGAAGACTGGAAAAGGGCAAATATTGTGCCCATCTATAAAAAGGGGAATAAGAACAACCCAGGAAACTACAGACCGGTCAGTTTAACGTCTGTCCCAGGGAAGATAATGGAGCAGGTAATTAAGGAAATCATATGCAAACACTTGGAAGGTAATAAAGTGATAGGGAATAGCCAGCATGGGTTTGTGAAGAACAAGTCATGCCAAACTAATCTGATAGCTTTCTTTGATAGGATAACGAGCCTTGTGGATAAGGGAGAAGCGGTGGATGTCATATACCTAGACTTTAGTAAGGCATTTGATACGGTCTCGCATGATATTCTTATTGATAAACTAGGCAAATATAACTTAGATAGGGCCACGATAAGGTGGGTGCATAATTGGCTGGATAACCGTAGTCAGAGAGTTGTTGTTAACGGTTCTAAATCCTGCTGGAAAGGGATAACAAGTGGAGTTCCTCAAGGGTCTGTTTTGGGACCCGTGCTGTTCAATATCTTCATCAATGATGTAGATATTGGGATAGAGAGTACGCTTATTAAGTTTGCAGATGATACCAAACTGGGTGGGGTTGCAACTTCTTTGGAGGATAGGGACATAATTCAAAATGACCTTAGCAAGTTAGAGAAATGGTCAGAGGTAAACAGGATGAGGTTTAATAAAGAGAAATGCAAAGTGCTCCACTTAGGAAGGAACAATCAGTTCCATACATACAAGATTGGAAGCGACTGTCTAGGAAGGAGCATGGCGGAAAGGGATCTAGGGGTCATAGTGGACCACAAGTCGAATATGAGTCAACAGTGTGATGCTGTTGCAAAAAAAGCAAATATGATTCCAGGTTGTATCAACAGGTGTGTTGTAAGCAAAACTCGTGAAGTCATTCTGCCGCTCTACTCTGCACTAGTTAGGCCTCAGCTGGAGTACTGTGTCCAGTTCTGGGCACCACATTTCAAGAAAGATGTGGAGAAATTGGAAAGGGTACAGAGAAGAGCGACAAGAATGATTAAAGGTTTAGAGAACATGACCTATGAAGCCAGGCTTCATGAACTGGGCTTGTTTAGTTTGGAAAAAAGAAGATTAAGGGGGGACATGATAGCGGTTTTCAAATATCTAAAAGGGTGTCACAAGGAGGCAGGAGAAAATTTGTTCCTCTTGGTTTCTGAGGACAGGACAAGGAGTAATGGGCTTAAAGTGCAGCAGGGGAGGTTTAGATTGGACATTAGGAAAAAATTCATAACTGTCAGGGTGGTCAAATATTGGAATAAATTGCCAAGGGAGGTGGTGGAATCTCCCTCTCTGGGGATATTTAAGAACAGGTTAGACAGACATCTGTCAGGGATGGTGTAGACGGAGCTTGATCCTGCCTTGAGGGTGGGGGGCTGGACTCTACGACCTCTCGAGGTCCCTTCCAGTCCTATTATTCTATGATTCTATGAAATGCAATTTGGTGAGTTTGGATTTAAATCTGAATACTTAAAAAGGGGGGTGGGAGGGAATTCAGAAAAAAAATTGAAATGTTTCGCTTCAAAATGCTGTTTCGTGTTTTTATTTAAAAAAAAGCAAACGAGTAATACACACCTGGAAACAAACCCAAAAGCTGAAAAATCAAATCAGCACTGAGTTCTGTGCCTAAGTTAATAATCACATGAATTGTTAGCAAAGCATCCTCTTAGATTTTCAGCATCTTAATGTTGAAATGATGCACAAATCCAGGAAACCAACTTTGCCCTACATTGCTTCAGTTTTTTGGTGCTCCCCTGTTGGCCAGTAAGATTGCGTAAACAACCTTTAACCAGCTAAAGTTAAAAAATACCTTGTGTGCGCTTCTGTAAACATTTAATTAATTGTAAACCAAACATTAGCTTAAGGATGGAAGGAATAAGGGTTGGAAGGCCAGCAGCAATGCAATTCTCCTGTGTTGCCTGAAAATGGTTTGGCACACATCTAAAGCCGCCTCTGCTGCACAAGTCATCTTTGTCTAGCAAGATGGTTTCTCTGTTTCAAGGGGTTCATCACCTACCTATCTGGCTTTTGCTTTTTATGTCCTTCTGGAGCCTTTCTGAAGAGGGGAAGCTCTTGGTGATTCCTGTGGACGGAAGTCATTGGCTCAGCATGCATTCGTTAGTACTGCAGCTTCAGCAAAGAGGACACCACATAGTCGTGGCTGCGCCGGAAGTGAGTGCTCTGATAGAGCCCTCAGAGCATTACACACTGAAAACGTACTTTGTGCCATATACCAAGGAGTACTTGGAAGCAGAATTTAGAAGGCTGGGCCATCAAGTATTTACCCCTCGACCTTTCCTGGAAAGGGTCACTCAAACATTCGCAAGAATAGGAAATATTACAACGTTCTTATTGAATTCCTGCAAACAGCTTCTCTCCAACAAAGAGCTCATCATATCCCTCAAAGAAAGTGCATTTGATGCAGTCTTGATGGATCCAATATTTCTGTGTGGACAAGCTGTGGCTGAGTATTTGTCACTACCTTCAATTTACTTCTCCAGGGGAATTCCATGTGGGTTAGAATTTCAGGCTGCCCGGTGTCCAAACCCTCCTTCTTACATCCCCAGATTTTTCACCCACTATACAGACCACATGACATTTCCCCAGCGCATGTGGAATATCATAGTCAGCTCAGCCCTATCCTGGAGCTGTTCCCTTCTTTATTCGTCCCATGAAGATCTGATCAGGGACTTCCTTCAACAAGATGTGACCATGACAGAGCTTTTAAGTCATGCATCTATTTGGCTGCTGAAATATGACTTTGCGTTTGAGTATCCGAGGCCTGTGATGCCTAACATAGTTTTAATTGGTGGCGTGACTTGTGGCCAGCAGAAACCATTATCTCAGGTTAGTTCTTTTTTACAGCTAAAATTTGGACAATCCTACTAGTGCCTACTATTTGATAAAGCTTCCATTGGTTAAAACAAAATAAAAGTAAGGAGGCGATAGCATAGTATAAAAGTAAGGAATGTGATAGCATTATATAGATTTAGTATGCAGCTTCCAATCAGCTCCCTACTGTGAGCGTAGCTTTGGATGGGCCTCTTATGGCAAGTCATGCTCTGGAATTAGAGTGACCACTCACCTTGTTGCAGTGGGGGAGGTTCTTGGTTGGATATTAGGAAAAACTATGTCACCAGGAGGGTGGGGAAGCACCGGGAATGGGTTACCTAGGAAGAGTGTGGACTTTCCATCCCTAGAGGTTTTTAAGTCCTAACTTGACAAAGCCCTGGCTGGGATGGTCCTGGGGTTGGTCCTGCTTTGGGCCAGGAATTGGACTCAACCTCTTGAGGTCTCTTCCAGCCCTATAATTCTAGCTTGTTTGCCCATGGTCCAGTGTCTGGACTGCTGACATTCGCAAGTTCTTTGCCCGCTTGTTTAGGATCCAGTTGTTAACAAAGGTCAATAACAAAGATCACCAGAGTTTAACCATTCAACAGAACATATAATACATCTGATACAGAAGAATGAAGACAGCCAATCCTGGCTGCCCCTGAAAAGCCAGGGATTAATCGGGCAATGTTTACAAAGAGCTTTTCCCTGACAGTTGCATGAGCTTATTTAACAAGTTTGCCTTTCAAACCCCATGTTCAGTGCCTCCTGGAACATTTTTTAAAGGGTCTATATTTAAATTCACATCCTGGCATTCTCTCTTCCCCAAGGTTTTCAGGAAAATATAGTGATAAGAAATGGGACATTTATTCCTTGTTTGACTTACCTATTGAGTTAGCTTTTCACTAGGTCCAAATCCTTCATTTGTGTCACCACAGTTCATTATACCACACAGAAAGGTACAAGTCTACAAAATCTTCCACCTGTCCATGTCTAGGCAACTTTTAAATATCTTTTTATTCATTTGAAAAAAAGGAAAAATTATATGATTTTCAATATTCTCAAGATCCAGACAGAACTGATAAATCAGGAAAGGTAAAGTGGCTCATTTTTCAGGCTATTGTTTACATCATTAAGCTTTAAAAAAAAAATCCATGCTTCCACAATTGTGTGATCTGGAGAAACATCAGACCTAAACCTGAAGTTCCCGACACCTTTGGGGTATCTAAAGAAAACAATGTATTTAGCAGTTTTGGGGTGCCAGAAAATATATGACCCTGGCTTAATAGATCTACTTGATTTGCACTGCATCTTTCTTTCCTGAACAGAACCTGAAAATGTTTCATATTGATTTATGACACTACAGTTTCTACTATTTCCACACTGAGTCTTGAGTTATGACCCAATCCTGCAAACACTTACACATCAAATCTTTACTCTGGGGAGTAGTCCCATAGGTTTTGACAATCATATGCCTATATTGTTTTTTAACAAGCATAAATGTTAACATATTTCCTTTCCTGGCTTGTAGAAGTGAGATCCCTTTGATTGCACAGCCCCCAAATTACAGCCCTGTGATGTGGATTAGAATGAAAAGCACTGACTAGAGGTTTCTTTCTATTTGCAGGAATTTGAAAGCATTGTGAATGCCTCAGGGGAACATGGCTTTGTAGTCTTCTCCTTGGGCTCAATGGTCTCTGAGATCCCCATGAAGAAAGCCCAGCAGTTTGCTGAAGCCTTTGGAACAATACCTCAGACAGTAAGAGGAAAAGAATATTTCTAGACCAACTGTTGTATATAGTCACTGGTTACAATTTGGTATTGGATTTTTCTTAACTCCTACTTAAATGTCTGCTATAGCACTTAAAAATGTTTTCAATAACAAAAGTCCTGTCCCATCCCCTTTTATGTCAAAACAAAACCCCATCTCCACTGCTCAGCACAAACCTGGATGAAACAGAATTTGTCCATCAAGGGTTCATCTGCTCTGCTGTACAGCACAGTTTACAGGAAGAGGCAACAGCAGAAGAACTGAAAGAGAAGTTCTTAATATTAATGATGCATTTATTATTTCCCACAGATTCTTTGGAGGTACACTGGACAACCACCACCCAATCTTGCAAACAACACAAAGCTAATCAAATGGCTGCCACAGAATGATTTACTTGGTAAGTCTGGGCAATTCTTGTGCCAACATTGTGTGATCATCTCATCTGACCTCTTGTGTCGCACAGGACTTCCTAACTCAATTAATTTCTGTTGGAAGCCACAGCAGATTTTTTAGAAACACCTCCACTCCAGATTTAAAAATTGCCAGTGATGTAGAGGTCATGAAGGAGGGAGAGGACATATACTGGGTCACATGCCCCCTACCAGTCCACATTTGTAGCTTGGCTTATACCGAGCACACTCAGTAATGCTGCTGAAGCTGGTTGCCCTCACTCTGTGCCCTCCCTATCAGCAGAGTCATTGAGACTCAACATTTTCAGCACAAAATGTGGATTTCTGGTGAAGATGCTAGTATGGTTTTAATGCAAAAACCCAGGTTTTTGTACAAAAATGGGCAAGTGTAGACATAGTCTAATAATGTGCCTCCTGAAGCTTAAAGAATTAACCCAAAATGTCTGAACAAACACTCTGCTACAGTCATATGTCTACCATTCCCTCCTAGCTCATCCCAAAGCCCGCGCCTTTATCACTCATGGAGGCTCGCATGGCATCTATGAGGGAATATGCAATGGAGTGCCAATGGTTTTGATGCCATTATTTGGAGACCAGATGGACAATGCTAAGCGGATAGAATCCCGGGGTGCGGGAGTGACACTGAATGTACTTGACATGACTTCTAAGGACCTATCGGCTGCATTGAACACAGTGATTTATGATAAAAGGTTAGTAACAGCATCTTCACTGTAGCATCTTCACTTTAGGGCTAGTGAATATACTGTTGGCTTCCAGTTAAATTGAACATGGCGCACTACCCTCGTCACAGTAAGGATGTTACATATCACTCAGCAATCAGAGTAATATACCAATGTGTTAGTGTAAGGGGGCTAGTATTTTCCCCATTATTACAAGACTTTTCTGGTTAGGGTCTCTAATTAAAGGTATCTAGAATGGGCTTCAGTGTGCAAGTGAGACGATGCAATGCTAGGGTGGGTGTGGCCTCTATATGATGGAAGAAAACAAAATTTCCAAGGTACATTGCATGTTTAAAGCCAAACGTGTCCAGCTTCTTGGAGAATGTCAAGACAGCAATAAAAATGTGCTGTTTTCCTCCTTTTGTATCCTCTTTTTCCAGGAGGTAAAGGGACAGAAAAAAAATCAAAAGCTAAAAATTTTACATGAATTTTCATCAAAGTCTAAGGGATCTCCTGAAAGTTCTAAAACAAAAATGTATTTGAATGTCTTTTTGAGAGAGGTTGACCCTTCTTCTTGATTTACTGTAATGTACTGTGAATGTGAGCAAAATGCTGCAGAATGTCAAAGATGGCTAAGCCTTATTGACTGCCTCTCCCATATCAGCTTTGCATCTCATTTGCATAACCACTCCCATACATGGGCTTAACCTGAGCAAAGCTATGGTTGTGCTGCAGAATGTCACTAAAGTATGATCTCAATCACCATGGTTTACAGAAGTTAAGTATAGCATTAATTTACTATACTGACCATGTTTGCTCAGTCAACTTGTCTTTCTTTCTGTTTGGTAGCAGCAGCAGACAGTAAAACACTGCTTGGCTGGGCTTTACAAAGGAAATGCAGGTCATTGGGGTCTCTTGGCTTTCATAGTAACTGTTATGGAACACACACAAAAAAGAACTGGGAAAGGCTTTTGAGTCACTCATTGCCAAGGCCCCGTTGGGCATTCACTCACCCTGCCAAGCTGGCTGTACCACGCACGATTTGGTGGCCATCTGGTATGCCAGGGAAACTTAGACCAATCCCTTGACTTCAGTAGGAAGAGAACTTGGCCTTTTTAAATAGTTTGCCAATAATTCAGCCACCCACTTTCAACCATCAAGGCTTCCAAGAGACCCTGTCTACTTCTGCAAGTGCCTCCTTTATCTTTACCTAACAGAGATTTACTGCTACTGTCTTGGCTTCCTTTTCTGTAGTCCCCCCACCAGTCTGGCATGTACCCTCTCTGCTCCATTGGAAACTGCCCTCCTCAAGACCTTTGGGGATCCCCTTCTGGCCAGGTCTGGGCCTGACACTCCATCCTTATCCTCCTTGAATCTTCTCTTCTTTCAGTTTCACTGGCCAGTCCCTTCTACTCTGTTCTCCGTGGGCTTTCTTGGTACTGATCACTCTTGGGTATCTTAGTACATTATTACTCTTTGTTATTTGTACTGTTATAGCACTGAGACCTAGCTGTGGGTCAGGGTCCCCTGTAATGGGTGCTGTATAAATCCAGAACAGAATGATGGCGTCTCGCCCCAACACGCTTACAATACAAATCTGAGCCAAGAGACAGCAGGTAGCTATAGCAATGTGGGACGCACAAGGAAATAATGCAATATTATTACCAGGCAACATGAGAGACAGCTACTGCCTAGCTATTCTCAGCTTTTTTAGGCAACCCAGCAAAGGCGAGTTTTATGGATTGTCCTTCTCTCCCACAGAATACACAGAACTCAGTCCTGGACCTTCTCTTCTACGCCATGTCCTTGGGTACCTTTTCTGCTTGCGTAGCTTCAGCTACCATCTCTCAGCTGATGATTTATAAATAGGGCCCTATGAAATTCATGGTTCATTTTGGTCAATTTCATGGTCACAGGATTTTAAAACTCATGAGTGTCATGATTTCAGCCCTCCTCTTCCCCCATGGTCGTTCTTCAGTACAACAGTCCCCCCACCAGACCCCTCCCCGCAGCAGACAGTAAAACACTGCTTGGCTGGGCTTTACAAAGGAAATGCAGGTCATTGGGGTCTCTTGGCTTTCATAGTAACTGTTATGGAACACACACAAAAAAGAACTGGGAAAGGCTTTTGAGTCACTCATTGCCAAGGCCCCGTTGGGCATTCACTCACCCTGCCAAGCTGGCTGTACCACGCACGATTTGGTGGCCATCTGGTATGCCAGGGAAACTTAGACCAATCCCTTGACTTCAGTAGGAAGAGAACTTGGCCTTTTTAAATAGTTTGCCAATAATTCAGCCACCCACTTTCAACCATCAAGGCTTCCAAGAGACCCTGTCTACTTCTGCAAGTGCCTCCTTTATCTTTACCTAACAGAGATTTACTGCTACTGTCTTGGCTTCCTTTTCTGTAGTCCCCCCACCAGTCTGGCATGTACCCTCTCTGCTCCATTGGAAACTGCCCTCCTCAAGACCTTTGGGGATCCCCTTCTGGCCAGGTCTGGGCCTGACACTCCATCCTTATCCTCCTTGAATCTTCTCTTCTTTCAGTTTCACTGGCCAGTCCCTTCTACTCTGTTCTCCGTGGGCTTTCTTGGTACTGATCACTCTTGGGTATCTTAGTACATTATTACTCTTTGTTATTTGTACTGTTATAGCACTGAGACCTAGCTGTGGGTCAGGGTCCCCTGTAATGGGTGCTGTATAAATCCAGAACAGAATGATGGCGTCTCGCCCCAACACGCTTACAATACAAATCTGAGCCAAGAGACAGCAGGTAGCTATAGCAATGTGGGACGCACAAGGAAATAATGCAATATTATTACCAGGCAACATGAGAGACAGCTACTGCCTAGCTATTCTCAGCTTTTTTAGGCAACCCAGCAAAGGCGAGTTTTATGGATTGTCCTTCTCTCCCACAGAATACACAGAACTCAGTCCTGGACCTTCTCTTCTACGCCATGTCCTTGGGTACCTTTTCTGCTTGCGTAGCTTCAGCTACCATCTCTCAGCTGATGATTTATAAATAGGGCCCTATGAAATTCATGGTTCATTTTGGTCAATTTCATGGTCACAGGATTTTAAAACTCATGAGTGTCATGATTTCAGCCCTCCTCTTCCCCCATGGTCGTTCTTCAGTACAACAGTCCCCCCACCAGACCCCTCCCCTTCCACTTTATGAGAAACAATCGAATCCCAGGCACAGCCCATTGTCCTGGCACAACCAAACCCTGATCTTGCTTTAAGTTATGATAAGAGGAAGCTGCATGCCAAGTTTGGTGGTCCTAGCTCTTACTGTTTAGGAGGAGCTCTTGAACAAATGGACACAGACACATATTTCTAAAATACATAGTAAAAGATTTAAAACACTTAATTTCTTTTCTTTGCAGCTATAAAGAAAATATCATGCGCCTCTCAGCCCTTCACCTCGACAGACCCATCCATCCTCTTGATCTTGCAGTGCACTGGATCGAATTTGTGATGAGACACAAGGGGGCACCGCATTTGCGGCCTGCAGCCCACGATCTCAACTGGATCCAGTACCACTCTTTGGATGTCATTGCTTTTCTCCTGGCTGTGGTGCTCGTGGCCATGTTCATCTCTTGGAAGTGTTGCCTGTTCTGCTGCCGGAAGTGTTTCTGTAAAAAAGGAAGAGTGAGCAAATCAAGCAAAACAAAAGCACAGTAACAAAGGGGTAAAGATGGGGCTTAGCTCCAGAGCTTTGGGAATGTAGATCTCCTCCGAGCATAGTCCCAGGAAAGTAATTTCCCACAGTGAGCTCAGTAATTGTTCAACACATATTCTGTTTAAATAGCCACACAGTGTTCCGTCTTCCCATGTTTTGATTTTGTCTCCCATTAATTCAGAATGTTTGTGAAAACTTTGGTTAAAGCTTGTCTGATTGTTAAAAATAATTCACCCTGTAACACTATGGGGTGGTGCACAGAGTACTAACAGGAGTCCTCGGTTCCACTTCTGGTTGTGCTGGTCGCTCACTAGCTGACTACGGCTCTGTATCTCAGTTTTCTCATCTGTGCAGTGCGGGTAACAAAACGTCTACTGTGGCACTACTAGGGTGCCCATCACTCAGGTGAGTGTCTGGTGCATCATATTTATAAAGCATTGTGAGCGCTTTGGGTGAAAGTTGTTCCATAAGTTCCAAGGACAGCATGTCATCCTAGCAGCCCGTCGCCTGGAAATAGAGAATGGTATTTGTTCTGAGCAGTTTCAAAAACACTGAATATGAACAAATTTCCCATTTGAAGGTATTACTGAACCAGCCCTGCCTAATCAAGTTTCATTCCAGCTGGAGCACTGAACCGTGGGCATCGGAGTCAAGTGATTTGATCTTTGTTATTGATACTCTGTTAAAAATAAACACAACAAAAATCAGTATAATTAAAGGGAAAAGAAAACAGCTTTTTTTCCTCATTTGTGGCCTGATCCTCTCCTCTTCGTTAGAAATACTCAATAGGGTTGAGCATGCCAGATCTACATCCTCAGTTAAAACTAACATAAAAAGACCAGCTCTTAGAGCTACTGAAGTCTTTGCCATAGGGAAAGCAGGAAAGACCAAAACAACATAGTTCTACATGTCTGTTTCATTTTAAGGCGTGCACAATAAAATTAGATAAATCCATAAATCATCTTGTTGGAAAGCTTCAATATAAGACTTTTTTTTTAAATCTGGAACAAAAACACAAGAACACAAAAACAGAGAGAGAAAAAGCAGACTGCTCCCTAATGCAGAGGTACAGCTTACCCTCTTTGCTCCAGGCTAGCTCCTCCTAGCTGCACACTTCCCTAAGAGTCCCTGGCTTGCAAGCAGGACCAGGAAACCTCAGAGTTTAAAGTTATGGCATGTGAAAATTGTGATCTATACAAACATATATATGTTTGTGAGGTAGGATGCACAACACAAGGAGCATGCAAAGTCATAGAATCATAGAACTGGAAGAGACCTCAGAAGGTCATCAAGTCCACCCCCTGCTCTAGGCAGGACCAATTCCAACTAAATCAACCCGGCCAGGGCTTTGTCAAGCCGAGGCTTAAACACCTCTAGGGATGGAGACTCCACTACTTCCCTAGGTAACCCATTCCAGTGCTTCACCACCCTCCTAGTGAAATAGTTTTTCCTAATATCCACCCTGGCCCTCTCCCACCACAACTTGAGACCATTGCTCCTTGTTCTGCCATCTGTCACTACTGAGAACAGCCTCTCTCCATCCTCTTTGGAATCTCCCTTCAGGAAGTTGAAGGCTGCTATCAAATCCCCCGTCACTCTTCGCTTCTGCAGACTAAACAGACCCAAGTCCCTCAGCCTCTCCTCATAAGTCATATGCTCCAGTCCCCTAATCATTTTGGTTGCCCTCTGCTGGACCCCTCCTCTTCTTGTTAACATGCCTGTAGAAACCTTTCTTGTTATCCTTCACATCCTTAGCCAGTCGCAATTCCATTTGCACTTTCGCCTTCCTGATAACCCCCCGGCATTCTCGAGCTAGACCTTTAAACTCCTCCCTGGTCATTTGTCCAAGTTTCCACTCTTTGTAAGCTTCCTTTTTGTGCTTAAGTTCACCAAGGATTCCCCCTGTAAGCCAATCCGGTCTCCTACCATGTTTGCCTCTCTTGCTACGCGTCGGGATGGTTTCTTTCTGTGCCTTCAATAAGGCTTCTTTAAAATACTGCCAG